TCATGTTTCCTGTTCGTCTGGCTCCGCCCTGAAGACCATCCAGCTCTGCCAGCTTCTCCCCAAATTCAACATCAAGGTATATGACAACACCTCGCATTATTAAAGGGGTCCTATTATGCAAAATTCACTTTTTAAAGGGTTTTTTTTACTCAACTTTGGGTATGTACTTCTTAAAAAAACAGTCCTAGGACCAAAAAAATGCACCCAGGGGCATATTAGCTGTAAGTAAATGTATTTTTAATGTATGTTAATGACAAGTTTTATACTTCCGTCATTTTGTGACGTCACAAGCCGTACGACAACCCACCGGAACCTGCGTTCAGCCCCTTACCTAGCAACCCCCGGGTGAGACTCCACCTCCTCAGTATAAAAAGCTGTCATGGTTGTTGTTGTGCAATGTGTAGCTCATTTCACAACAAGCCTCTAATAGGGTAATGGGTAGAGTGTTGGACCAGAGAGTGGGAGACCAGGGTTTGAGACCGGCACGCACTAGGGTTGGGCAATATTGGCAAAAAAATTAATCATGATTAATTGTGGTATTTAGCCGATAACGATTAATTTGACGATTAATCCCCTGAAGTCCCTGGACACCTTTATGTCCTGGTCACATGGCCAATTTAGTGGGAAAGATTTGCTATTCATACAAAGCTGTTCCAAATTGTGTCAAAATTACAGTCTTCGGTCTATACATCAAATTTTAAATTGTGTTGATGGATAAATAAATGATAGAACCTTTTTTTTTAAATGCTCAACGTATTTGGAGCAGAGAGGAGCAGCGACCGGACTCTGCCTGGTGGCATTAATCGTATTAATCGTCAAGTGCCAAAAAGTAATCGATTAGTGTTTTTCTGACGATTAATTGCACATGATACGATTATGCCCAACTCTAACACGCACACTATTTATTTATTTATTTTCATTCGTTATGAACACGTTTTCTCATGTACCTCTATTGTTTATCTTATTAAAGCCTTGTTAAAGCCTATTTGTTCCAGTTTCTGAGGTATTTTGACAGCTGCTGCTCCCTGCTCTGGTAACATCATGCAGAGTGAGTGCAGAACAGAGGAGGGAGAGAGAAAAAAGAAGCTGCGACCACGACTCTGCCTCATATGAGACTTAGGGTCTCAGGCAAAAAAAAATTATCACGATTAATCGTAGTATTTAGCCGATAACGATTAATTTGACGATTAATCCCCTGGAGTCTCTGGACACCCTTATTTCATAGTCACATGACCAATTTGATTTGATTTGATTTGATTTATTGATTTAACAGGAAAAGATTACTAAAAATCAAGCCTGACTCAGCATAATTGCTGTNGTATAAAGAGGAAACCTCAAACAGTATTTGTATATTAAGATTTCCTTGTTGGGAAGAGACAAAAACTTTGCTAGCTCACAGAGAAAATTCAAAATTTGAAGGCGTTTTTCCTCAAAATCAGATTTTTTTTTTTTGCTACTGCTCAAACAAATGCTTCAAAAAAAATCTGGGATTATAGACAGCTCATTCAAATGATACATTGATAAGGAATTTATTCATTATAGTTTGATAAAATGCAATTTTTGCACACATTTAAATCAAAACCCTTTATCTGCCTGTTTCTCCATATACCACTTTTGGACTTAATCCTCGTTTCGATGCGATGGGTCACAAATGTCTAGATTTTTGTGCTTCTTTCATCGTTGATCGTTGCGAAGTGTTTGGACTATTTCTGTCGCATTTTTTTTGCTCCTTCAGAAAGTTTTGACGCTGCACCTCTCAGGCTGTGGATCTGACAAACAGATTTATTTATTAAAGGTGATGAGATGTTTGTTTTCTCCAAGCAGCACTTCGGTGTGTTTGTGATGGATGATGCTGTGGCATCAAATTTACAAAAAAACCCTTCTCCCTCTAAATGCACAATGAGATTTAAGTTACCGTACTTGCATGCATACCTGCACTACATACAGTAGCTGAAAATGAGGAGTGAAACGAATACCGTTTGAGGGAAGCTGTATGTAAATGTGATTTCTCTCTGTCTTGTTTCTGTGTGAACACACAGAGTTAAACGTTTCATCTAATCAAGGCTGAACTCTCCTCCAAGCTGGAGGTTGAAAATGCTTTTGGCAGGAACTAGGCTACTCTCGGCCCGGTTCTAAATTCCATTTCGAAGTGGCAAAGTGGAAAGCTTTTAATTAAAACGGGCGTGTGACGAAGCAGACAGCAGTTTGATAATGATGGCATTTCTCYTGGTTAGCGAGCGACTTTTAATAGCTTTAGTCAAATACTCTCCTGTGACCATTTCTGAAATGATTTTTGTCTCACAAAGCCCTCTGAGCTGAGGCAGACCGAGGAAAAATGGAGATTTTTGGGAAAGCGGTTCGAACACGGCCGCCCTTCTTGGCAGAGCCGACGCTTTTTTCAGCCCGTGAATCTTCGCAGCAAAGTGCGAGGGGCCTCCGGTTACTGGCGAGCCTCAGAAAGTGACTCGTGATTTTTAATCATTGACGCCGGAGGTGAGCTGTTGTCGGAGCCGCTATCGCCATGGCTACCTCGGTGTAACACACTAGAAGGGGACAAGTGACGCGTCCTCTTGTCACCTAAGCTGTGACGGACTGATGAAACATTCATCACTCACATCTGCAAMGAGCTCTTTTGTGGGGGGATTTTACTGACCATTTGTTATAACACTTCCTTTTCTGTGCAATGTTTTGTGATTAATTAATCATTTAAACTGTACAAAAATAAAGTCATCACTGATAATCTCTTCTTTTTTCATGTTTCCTGTTCGTCTGGCTCCGCCCTGAAGACCATCCAGCTCTGCCAGCTTCTCCCCAAATTCAACATCAAGGTATATGACAACACCTCGCATTATTAAAGGGGTCCTATTATGCAAAATTCACTTTTTAAAGGGTTTTTTTTACTCAACTTTGGGT